ATTCACACACTTATAATAATCATGATCAGAGTTTGAAATGATTTTAAATATCGTGAAACATTGAAATGTACTTTATTTTGAAAAACCAACAACTCCTACTGCGTGTCAGGCAGCGGAGCCGGCTGCTTCGCACTGCGCTGCTTTCAGGAGTGGAGTACAACGAGAACCATCTGACGTAGAGGCAAAGAAAAGGCTAACGGTCGATGAGAGGCTCAGCTGGACGCATTTCAGTTCAATGACGCTAATGCTAATGCTAACGCATGCGCCATTTAAACTACAGTAACATGGATGATTACGGTTTGGCAATGTAACTTTGGACTCGTTTTGAAGAGAACTACAGCTCTTCCTGTCCAGGGATTCTCCAGCCAGCCTCATTTCTGGTTGCACTTTAAGATGAGTTCATTCAAATATTTTCAGGTGAGGAAGGGACTCAATTGCAGCATGACCTCCACCCACTGGCGCCACTTCAGGCCATGCTGTTACCTCCTGCATCAGCTGAATCCTCTGCCGCTCCTGCTGCTCTCTCAAGCGCTCCCTCCTTTCACGCTCCAGGAAACCTTCGCTGAACGGGTTGTTGTCATCAAATTTCACCTGCAGAAGGAAACGGCAGATGATAGCGCCACAAAGCTCCAAACGTATCCTTTGAACCGCTCTCGATAGAATCTTCAACTAAAAAATATTTCCCAGCAGGACTTGCTCTGGCTAGGTACCTGAGGTGTGGCTCCGTCCCCTGGCGCGCCATTGGCGCCCCCTAGGGAGCCCTGGGGGGTAGTTAAGTCTGGCGTAGGGGCAGTCAGGACTGGCTTCATGGGCAGAGTCGTCTGGATGAGAGGGGGGGCCTGGGGGCAGTTGGGCAGGTTGGGGGGCATGTGGGCTGGAAGCTGTGGAAGCATCCTCTGACCCATGGGAGGACCAGACCCTGGAGTCCAGCCTGAGGGGACGTTTGGACAGTGAATCGGGGCAGCGCCGCCCAGGCGGGGCTTAGGGGGGACCAGGACTTGCCCCAAGGGCATCTGGGGGGGCATCTGCAACATCCTCTGAGGTTGTTTGGTCCTGTAGTCTTCAATCAGTTCAGTGTGGTCCTTCTGCTGCTTACGGATCTGAACAAGTTACACAAAGAGTCACACCGAGACACAAAGAGTCACACCGAGTCTAAGCAAGTCACCCATAGAGTCTGTGGTCCAGGTGAGTCAAGTTACCTGCTCCAGCTGTTTCTGGACTGCCCCCTGCTGTTCACTGATGTACTGCAACTGGGCTGCATCCTCTTCAGCGAAGGCTCGGCCCGCCCTCTTGGCCGTTCTCTGCTTTGCTGACAGAGCCTTCTTGGCCTTACGGTGAGCTGCAATCTGGTCCTCTAGGAGGCGCTGCTGCATCTGCAGAAGCTGCTGCGTCTCGCCTAGCCACTCCTCGTATTGCTGCCTCTGAGACTCATCTGAAAAAAATGTGTTTGTAGAATGAACAGCTGACTCTGCCACTGTCCAAAACACCCGAATCGTTTGACTGACTTAGCTTCTCAGAGCAGTAAGGTTCTCCGGTCCTGCTAATGACTTCTTTACTGATTCAGCTGTGTGGCATCAGAGATGCATCTAAAGGTGCCAGGACAGGCCTGGAGTTCAACATGTGCAATAGGTGATTCATTTAAGAGAGGGTTTAAAACGCACACTAAACATGAGACCCAGATTTAGGTGCAGTAATGGCACCTGGAACACATCCAGGACGGTTGAGACAAGTATCCCATTTGCCATACATCACTGCTGATCTGGTTGTGTCACCATGACTGGAGGCTTGAAACATTTTATGATGTTGGTCTGTGATCATGGTCAAGCATCTCAGGTCTCCTAAACGCTTTGATCTCACACATGATTTCTCCACAGCGGCCTGAGACGAAACAAGCCAAAATAAAGAACCTAACACTGCTGGGTCAAAGTTTTTGTTAATGCAGACTTTTATGACTATCCAACTAAAATCTGTTAAAAATACAAAATAAAAACTGATGAGACTTGAAGTCAGAAGCTGTTTACAGAAATACCAGTTAATCTCCAATGTCACAACCAATGAGGAACATGTAGGAACAGACGGGTCTTCTCTCGACTTGTTTTCATCTGAATGTGATATAAAGATGCTGTGAACTCTGGGTCCACCCTCTGGTAGGAAGAGGAACTTCACGGGATGGATTTTCTTAAATTGTGCAACAAGAGACAGGCAAAAGTTTTTATATTTTTGGAGCAAAATCAGATTCTTATTCATGAATGTAAATATAAGCAGAAGGATTAATGAGCAATTAATCAGGATTAACAAGTCAGCTGTGGGTTAATTGATCTTCAGCCCTAGAGAGGACTTGGCTCCTGACCTGAACTGGAGTCAGAACCAGTGGAACCACTGGACCAATGAGGGAAATGTTCTGGACTGAATATCCATCCATCTGAAGGTCGATGTTCTCAATAGATCATTTAGGAACAGATATCAGCTGCACAGTAATAAAAGAAGAAGTTCCTCATGGATCTCTCTGAACAGGTTCTAGAGACTGGAGAACTATTTCAAACTGGGAATCCAGAGCCCTAAACAACTTCTTATAATTGACTTAAATAAATGCTTCTCTGCCAGGTTATGTATGTGGGTCCCCAGGGGTTGTTGTGGGAGAGGAAAATGTTTAAACCAATAGGGTTAAAGGCTCCATGCAGCAGATCCTGGAGGGGAAATGCCAGACATCCCTCCTCAACAAGGAGGCCTCTTGATTCACTCCTTTGGGGTGAAGGAGCAGCAGCATTATGTCCCAGGAAGGGAGCAGCAATGCTACTGCTGAGAAGAGCCAACAAAACATGTCTGCTCTAACCGGTGCTTTGTCTTTTGAATATAACAGCAGGGTGTCGCCCAGGAAGTACTGGGTCAAACAGGTGTAGAACACTGGCTTACAAAAAAACATTTTTTCGTAAGTTGTCTGTTTTTTCAACAGATCTGGGACTATTTTGCACCACTGAATCCAAATTGATTTATAGAAATCCAAGCTTCTGACTAAACTGATTACATTTTTGAGAGATTATCTGTTCATGTCCATTAATGTTTCTCATCTAAAAAAGGTTTTAGGAGGAAAAAACATATTTTCTAACAATTAAATAATACAAACTTGGATTTCTGTCAATTGTCAGATAAACGCTGATTAGGGTAAGTACATGTAAACTGAACATTGTGTTCTCCATCTGTGTTATGTCCTGGTGGAATCTCTCCTCCTGCTCACCACACATCGGTTCCAGATTCTCAGGAAACCCATCCATATGTGAAAACAAGGCATACATTTTGATGCTCATGTTGCATCAGGTCACATAGTTCAGGAAGTCGACCTGATTAAACAAAACCAATGTGATTTTTTTAATCAACATATCAAAATTACCCTAAAACAGTTGGAAAAACCCCAGACAATTTTTGGCTGTTGACCTGTGTAATCTGAGGATGCGGGCTGGATAAGAGGCAAGTGGTTGTGGCTGGAAATGTGTGCAGTCCATGATTACATGGAGATGAATCAGGCTGTGACAGTAGGGTTCCAATGTGGCCTGGTAGTTAGCACACAGGTCCAGAACCAAAAACTGTCCTTGAGTCAGATCAGCTTCCCACCATCATGGTCCACATGAGCACTGCAGTTCTCCAGGAACAGCAGGATCTCCAAAACTCTGGCCCATCCTTTCTCTAGATCTACCACATAGAAAAACCTGTAGAAAATAATGATCAGATCAACTGATTTGTGTCCTGATTCTCACTGATGAAGCCGGGTCCAAAGCTGGGGGGGTTGCGGCGCACTAGTTGAGGGGTTAACTTCCCGTCCTGACAGAAAGAAACATTTGTTTAGAGGGCAAACTGATTGGATGAAACTGCTTGGACCTGCTGAGTCGCTGCCCACAAGCTGCGTACCTGTCCTGGTAGGTGAGAAGTGGGAGGAGTTAACTCGGGACCTGGGGCTCCTGGACTCTGCTGGAACCTGTGATTACAGAGAACACAATCAGAACCAAGGTTCACAAAACCCAAACCCTGGAAAGTTCAGATGAGATCAGTCCGTACCTGTTGATGACCATTGGGTTCAGGCCCAGGGGTCCCTGACTCATCACCCTGTTAATACCTTTCAGAGCCTGCATCTTAGCCTTCATGATTGGGTCAGAGATGGACTCAAAATCTGTAAAACACGGAACCAGATTGAGTTATGAAGACTCAGGGCCTTAAAGACACGACTCCCGAGGGTCCCAAGACCGTCAAGATAGCAATGACGTGACGGAACTAAATGGCTTTCTGGTCAGATTCTGCTTCTCATTCTGGTTGGCTATCAGTAGGTGTAGGAGACCTCAGAGAGCTCTGATTTTCTGGCCTGTCACAGCTTTATGGTCTGAAAGGGTTTTGATCTTACCCGTGTCAGAGATTCCAGACTCTGAGCCAGACTTATGTTGGATCAGGGCCTGCATCTGTTTCTGCTGCTGCTGTTCCTGCCGCTCCTGGTCCAGAAGCTCCTGCAGGAGGAGTGGCTGCTCCTCCAGCAGGAGAGGCCTGGACTTGTTCTGGTTCTGGAGGGAGACTTGGTTCTCAGGAAAGCTGACCAAACTCATACTCTGGGTTTCAGTGCCTGGATGAGAAGGATGGTTCTGGGGGTTTAAAAGAAGTTGAGGCTGAGGAGATTGAGTTGATTGAGATTGAGGCATGGTGGGGGCACCCTGAGGAGCAGGACCAGAAGGAATTGGTTGGGGGATTGGTGCGGATCCAAATGGTCTCTGGTGGAAGACAGATGATTCCCCTGGGGACAGAGGAGATGCACATCAGACATATGCTTCAAAAGATGAAGAGGGAGGGGTGGTCACTGGGTTTACCTGGCGTTATTAGAGGGTGGACAGAGGACAAAGCCTGGGCTGGGACTGGACAGGAAACCAAACCAGAATCCTCCAGCTTCTCCTGCGGAAAGTTGAAGAGTTGAAATCATTTATCACGTCTGGGATTGGTTCAGCATGATAAAGCAATCAATGGCATACCTTGATTAGAAGGCCAGAGTGAGGTCCTTGAGGTCTGTTTGAGGAGTGACCTTCAGTCTTCTGAGATTCCTTCAATTCCTGTTTTGCCTGTCCCAGAAAGTGGGCAGGGCTTCCCATTTTCCTGGCGGGTCGGCTCCCCTCCCGGTCCTCTACCGGCTCCCCAAGGTCCAGCTCCTCGTTGAACATGTCTTTTTTGTCCTCCAAATTGAGCTCTGGGTCAGCATAGGCAATCAGGTCGAACTTCCCTGTCAACAGGAAGTCATCCAGATGCAGATCGTTCGAACCCAGGTCCAGGTCTTCTTTACCTGCGGCAGAACCAACCAGTGTGAATATTGACTTGAGACTGAAGTTCTGGGGAACTTATGGCAGCCTGTGGTCTTCCTACCATCCTCTGGGTCCAAATTCAGATTCAGGTCCACCAGGTCCTTGACCTCCACGTCCTCCAGATCCTTTACAGCAGAGTCCTCTCCCTCTAAGTGCTCCTCAATCCCCTCAGATCCTGGGAGAGCAGAACCCAGGTGCTGCTGCCCCAGCCCTGCCTCCCCTATCTTGACTGGACCCGGCCGTGGCGCAGTGGACTGGGTGGGGTCTCTGGTGGGCGTGGCTTCCTGTAGCTCTGAAGGCATTGGTGGGGGAAAGGGCAGCCTCAGACGGTTCTCTGGGGGGCGGTGTCGGAGCTCGATGTAGGGCATGACGCCGTGCTGCTGAGGAGGAGCAGGCCGCTGGACGATGAGTTGGGGAACACCTGTGGAGTCCAACGTGGGGAGACATGAGCTTAACGCTTTCAGGACTTGAACAGGGCCCTATTCAGTCGGCAATTCAGACCTGGCACCATGTGTGTTGCTGAGTTGTGGGGCATCAATGACCGAATGCTGGTGAACTCTGCTGGCACAGGCCTCCTCATTTGGACCAGGTTCCCCTCCATGGAGCCGAGCCCCACAGCAGGACCAAGGGATGGACGCGCTGAAGGGTCCTGTAGGGCTGCGGCAACTCCATGAGGAACACCAAACCTGGAAAGAGGGACACTAACTGTGACAGGAACAGATCTGACAGTTGCACGTCTGGTTCTCACTGTTTCTACCTGACAGCTGGTCCTCTCAGGAGGTTCTGTCTGGGGAGGGAAGCCTTGCTGGGAGTAAAGCCACTCATCTCCTCGCCTGGAAGACCTCCCGTAAACCCAGGAGTCAGAGGTCTCACTGTACCAGGGTACGGCGGTGGAGGACGTTCAAATGGGTCTGGAGGAGGGGCGCTGGAAGAGTCCTCAGCAGACCAGTTGTGAAGAGTGCTGCTAGAACCAGCAGGTCCTGAGGTGGGTTCCAGCAAACCTTTCTCCTGGCGTAAGGCAATCTTTTGGTGCTGCTGCCGGAGGATATGCTGCCGGAGCCATAGGCGCTGCATGGAACAACCAGAGAAACGTCAGAAATCCAAAGATGACGAAAATGACAAAGATCTGCCTCACCTGTTGTTGTTTCTCCTCAGAGTCTCCAAGCTGAGGCAGCATGCTCCTCCCTCCATCCAGAGAGGACAAGTCACCGGTTCCTGACTTCTCCATCGGTGACATGCTGGTCATTATGAGACCCTTCACCAGAGCATCCTGATTCGTTGCATGGACGATTCCCTTCTCAGGTATCACAGGGTGCTTTGGGGTCTGGCTGCTGCAGGTTCTGGGCAACAACTCTTGTCTGCTTCCTGAAGACTGTTGAAGCAGAACAGAGAAGAGGCAATGAGGAAATATGAAGGTTCCCTGGGTCCATTTTATCTCCAACTAGCAACAGAACACCAAGACGATCTTTGGTCCAGAAAACAATCACCTACAGGAGGACAGAACTTTTGGATTGTTGTTGGACATTTACAGCATGTAGCATCCCCTTAGGTCTTAAACTCCAGGCCTCAAGGGCTGGTTCCTGCAGCTTTTAGACATGTCTCTGCTTCAACTCATTTCAGTCCCATAATCAGGTCATCAGCAGAACTCTAGAGATCCTGACTGAACACCGAAGTGATTCGGCCACTCAGGTGTGTTGGAACACAGACACGTCCAGAGGTTGCAGGACTCCAGTTCTCAAGGAATAGAGTTGAAGATTCAAGTTCACAGTGAAACGGAGATTTGAATTGATAAAGCGCAATACAAGTACTATTTATGTACCGATGGCACCTGTTGGGCCCTCTAACCACCTTCAACAGGCATGGCAGAGAGGGAATCAAATACCTTCCATTGTAGTCACCATTGCCACAGAGGGGGTTTTCATACCTGAGGTGTCCAGCCCTCTCTTTGGTCTGGGTTGTTTGTGAAGCAAACCAGAAATCAAGCTAGCTTGCAAACCAAAACAACTGAACCGAGACCCCCTATTCCACATGGTCTTGGTAGGGTTCCACACAACCTCTAAAGCAGTTAGAGTGAGGGATCATGGTGTGACCGTGATCCAACACACCTGAGTTGAACCCCTTCCTGTTTGTGGGATGTGGTTAGCACCTTTAGGTAGAGGTGGACACCCTTATGTGACACTAGTTTTCTCCTGCTGGTCTAAGGAAAGTTTGGTTCACATCTCAGCTGCTTCCCAGAGATAAAACCTTAAAAACATCTTTATGAATTTTGTGTTTTTGCTGCCTCAGGTCTGAAGATGATAGATCAGCACATCACATCCAGAAAGACCAGAACACTGATTTAGATTTGGTTCTCCAGACACAGAGATGCATCTGCACGAAGAAGCTAGAGAGGTTGTTACCTTGGGGGCTGCAGGGCTGAAGGCCCCCCTCTCCACCATCAGTCCAGGACCCAGAGAGGAGGAAGCTGACGCTGCAGGCGGGGCAGTGAGGCTCTCTGCCAGGGTCTTCTGAGCCTGGGGGGCAGAGGGCTGCTGCAGGTATGACTCAGGAGGGGGGCGAGGCATCCCCACAGACTGGGGGAACAAATCAACGCTTCGCTGAGACCCCGGGGATCGTGGGAACCGTTCCGCGGAGCGGGGCGTTCCTGGATTGGAGGGATAGGAGTCCAGGCTGGACGGCGACGGCTGACTGACCGGGTCCGCTCTCAGTGCTGTGGGCATGGCGAGGTAGCCGCAGTCAGAGTGAGGTTGTGGTGTACCGGGGGTCTGAGGGTCCCTGAAGGGGTCAGGGGAGGGCCGTGAACCTGTGGCGTCCCCCAGCTGGGGTGTCCCCGGGGCATAAGGGCTGCGGTGGGGGGAGCCCAGACCTGACACCGGGCTGTTGGGGAACCCCAGGTCTCTCCTTCCTGCTGCCTCCTGGTGGGGGGGCATTGGGGCTTTAAACACTCCACCCTGCACCGTCAGGCTTGTCCTCTGGCTAGAGTCCCCCGCCCGAACGGGTCTGAGAGATGGATCGGGGGGGGAGCCGGAGGAGGGGATCACCATGCCGGCCCGACTTGGTGTCAAACCTGCAAGGAGGACAGAGGATGTTAGGAGAAGACAACGGGGGGAGGGCTGAGGGGAGCAAAGAGGAGGACACAGGGGGGAGGACCTACCGGAGGCAGACAGGTCGGGGGACAGTGCAGGGGAGCCATCATGAGCGGGGGAGACGCTGAGGAAGCCAAGGCGCTGCTGCTGAGGATGACGGGGACCTGCTACTTTACCATATGGGTCCCAGGGTGAGGACGGGCGAGAGGAGGGGGGGGAGAACATCTGGGGGGAAGACGGTGGCTGGTGGAGGGGGGAGGAGGCCAAAGGGGAGTGAGGGAGTGAAGAGAACCCAGAGGGAGCGGGGACTTGAGGTCTGAGAAAGACATCGTCCGGTGTCCCCGTGTCCTGCGGGAGGTTCTGCCTGCTCTGCGTGGCGTTGCCCCCGGCGACCTGCTGGTGGGCCGAGCCTTCTGGGGAAAGGCGTCCCGACTGGCGGAGCTGCTGCTGCCGCTGCTCGTTCTTCACCTGCTCCAGCTTTTGGGTTGCCTCCATCTTGGCCAGCTGCTTGCTCTTCTGTCGCATCATCTGAGTAGAACAGCAACCAATGAGACTTAGGCCCCACCCACCCATCAGAGAAGCACATGATGCTCACCTGTCTCAACTTCCACTCCTGTTCCTGCTCCGATTCCCTGGGCCTCAGCGGATCTCTGCAGCTGGCCTCCGTCTCCATGCCGATGGGGTCATAGACCCCTTGGGGTGGCGGCGGCGGCAGCGGCTGCTGCAGGCGCTGCAGTGATTCATTGGACAGCTGCACCTTGTTGATGCGCTGGGCTGCACGGTTGTCCCGAGCTTTTTGCTGCAGAACCACAATCGGGCGTGAAACAGTTTCCTCTGCACCCATCAAGAAGAGGAGGAGCAGAAACTCACCACGAAGGGCGCTCTGTCCTGGGAGCTGGCCTTCCTCCACAGCTTGGTGATCTGCTTCACTCTAGTGGACCAATCTGGGAACAAACGCTCACTGTGATACCTGAGCACTACCAGGGAAAACTGGGTTGAGTGAGTGTGTGTGTCTGTGTGTACCGGGGTACTGCTGCTTCAGCTGAGGGAAGTTGGTGTTGCAGTAAAGAACTGGAGCAACGGTCGCCAGCTCTCCCAGACTCTCCTCCTTCTCCCACTTCAGTGTCCCTCTCTGAGCTGTTGACATCACATCCTGTTCCCCTTCTACAGCTGACGGCTGATTGGCTGAGGCCGAGGAGGGGGCGGGGCCCTCAGAAGGCAAGCTGAAGCCAAGCAGACGGCTGCCGCTGCTGGGAGCATCAGGGAGGGGAGGAACAGCGGCCACCAGGCCGTTCGGCAGCCGAGAACACGCTGCTGACAGAGAACAGCTCTAAGGTCACCAGGAGGGTCACCTGTAGGCTTCCATAGTTGTGTGTGGGAGAAATCGTACCTGAGCTGTGGGACTTGCTGGGCTCTGGCTGCCTGCTGCTGTTTGGACTCAGAACAGCAGTGAAGACCTCCTCCACATCTTTGCCCTCCAGTTCTGCATACACACAGGTGTATAGGTCATCATGGGACCATGGCAGTGTCCTGACAGGTGAGCAGGTTCTGCCAGTCTTACCTGGGATCTTGTAGAGTCTGCTCAGGATCCCTCCTGCAACAGGAACAGGAAGTTGTCAGATTGTTCCATTGTGCCGTCTGTCTGCTGTCACTCTGCTACACTCACCGTCTGTTACCATCTGGTCCAGTTCAGGGCTCAAAATGGCATCCAGAGGCTCCTCCCGCTCCATCCTCTGGCAACGCCCATAACCTCCAGGGGTGTCCGATGACAGGGGGGCGTCGTTGGCCGCCGAGGCAATATCCAGGCAAGCTGGAAGAGACAGAGACACACGGAGAGGTGAAACAACCCAGGGGACGAGTCAGGGGGCGGGACAGGAGGAGGACCAGACTGGTAAATCTGCAGGAGAAGAGGAAGAAATGATTCATCTATCAGTCTGAGGTCACACAGAGTTAGAGAGACGGGTCGCCAGAGCTGAGCAGGAGGAAGAGGAGGAGGAAAAGGAGGTCCAGTCTTACCAAAGGGAGACGGAGAGCGCTCCACCTGGAACTGACCTAGAGCTAAACACACAAAGGTATCATGTGAAAGTCTCTCACTCACTCACACTCTCACACAACACGCATATACACTAACACACACACACAGCCATGATAATGAGAATGATGGTGCTGCATCCATACCTGTGCGTCCTGTCCCCAGGATGTGAGGGTCTGTTTTCAGGACGTCAGAAAGGTCCAGCAGCAGTTCCTCCGTGACGGCTGAATGGCAACACACACACACACACACACACACACAATACCTGATCATGTGACTTGATGGATGTTCCCAGTCTGAAACTGATTCCAGAACCGTTCTGGATTAAACTGCTGCAGTTACAGTCTGAAGCCAGCAGAGGGCATCCTCACACAGACACTAACTGACCTTAAAGGGATCCATGATCAACTGGAACAACAGACTTTATTTAAGAAATATTTATTTGAGTTGTATAAACAGTGAAGTAATAACTTTGAGGCTGTTGCGTTTTTATAAATGTTAAAATATTGTCATGCTGCAAGGCGTTCTGGGTAAATGACGTCTTTAGGTCCGACTGCGTTGGCTCCATATCACAAACACCAATTTTTTTAGTTAATAGCAAAATTACAACATATTAAATCCAACGTGTTCACCTAATCTTTAACCCCTTTAATCCCAGCAGCTGAAGGAGAACATGAGCAGAAGCTCAGGAAACAAGGCAGAACCTTCAGGAATGGAGAACGTGTTAAATACAAACAGGAAATGGAAACTTACGCAGCACTCCCCGTTTCCTGCTGGTTGCTACTGTCCCCAGAGGCTGGACAGAGGAGGCGGGGCCATGTGCTCTGAGGGGGGGGGCCTTGGAGACACTCACTGCCGATCCTGATTGGCTGGCACCTGAGGTCACTGTCCTCGGCCTTCCGTCAATCTGTCGGCTGCGGTCAAGCAGATCCCGCCCAAAGAAAGCCTCCTGGTCGGAGACGGACAATCAGCAGAGAGCGGGTTGGTGAAGCCTAGAGGCCAGGTGAAAGCATTACCTGCAGGTACGATGGGAACGCCTCCTCCAGCTTCGTCTTCTTCTTCCTGTATCTCTTCTTAACTTTCTCCATTGCCTGCTCAGCAGCAGACATCATTTCCATGGAAACATCAGTTTCCAAAACACCTGGGAGGAAACTGAGGATCAGACTCTGACATCACATTCTGTCAATGACCCATGGGCTCAGGTGACTCACCTGGATCTCGACTCGGGTTCATCTCTGATGAGTCCTTCCTGCAGAGCCCGGCTTTTCCCCCACGCTGACGCACCATGAAGCCCCCGATACCTGGGGGAGACCGGAGGTTAGAGCCCAGCTTCCAATTGTCTGGGATTTCCCGTACAAATGCATGGCTTCCTAGACCCAAATGGCCCGGAGGGCTAACATGGCCATTATATTTAATGTGGCCATATGGGATGAAGCGGGACAAACGGTGGACTGTCTAACCACTGAATGACAGCATCATCTTGACTTTTACTGACTTATCTCTTCACCAGTCTTAGCTGAGTGGAGTAGCAAAAGGGAAGACTTTCAGTGGAATCAGAGTGAAGAGCTCCATCAGATGGACCTATGATTTACCCCTACAAGTACAAAAATACACAAGGTACCAGATAGAAAGGCTGTAGAGAAACACAACCTAGTGCATTGGAATCAGGGCAGTGTAAGCATGGGATTAGGTATTGGCACCCAATGTATGGCTACTGACCATTTAGATAACATCCAGTGTGGCCCATAAATCCCAGGGTTGCCAAGAAGAATGTGCCTAAGAAACGTAGTCTAAAATACCATGAGGGAGCCACCTGAACTTCCTCCCATCATGAGTACCCACACTCAGAAATAGCAGTCTTCTACACTCTGGTAGGGCAAAAGCCTAGAAAATATGACTCTGCCCTATCAGAGGCACGAAACTCTGGAGGAGGAGGGGGTGTGGCAACTCAATGCCTGGGCATTGTGACGGGTTTGGGTTCAGATAGAGTTCAAGTGGGTGAGCCTGGTACATTAGGGCCACTCTTGGTTCTTCCCCAAAATTTTGGATGATTTATGCCTTAAGTCCAAAAACTTTTCACAACTGCCTAGTACGCCTCAAGATGTCTGTTTTAGGCACCTGGACAGTTGGCATAAAATGTTCCTAAAAGTCCTAAAGAAAAATATGAAGCAGGTGCATCTGGGTCACTAGCAGTCAGATGACCTGAGCATCTGACTGCTAGGTAAAGCTGCTGGAATTTGCTAGAACTTCTCAAATATGGGTCAACAATGCATGTCTTTTGGCCAGGGTGCCCTACTAAGGGGGAGACGGGATGTTAAGGGTGGGAGGATGATGAAGAGGAGATGAGTGGGTTTCAGCCTTCATCCCACCTGGCCTATAAGGTTTCCTCTTCTTCTTCTTGTTGTCATCTGTGACATCCGTCTCCTTGGTGACATCATCCAGGTGAGCGGCGTCCCGCTCGGGACTGGAGTCAGATTTCATTTCACAGTCCAAGTCACCTGCAGACAAAGCTGTAATGTGACGGTCAGGTGTTAAGGACACCTGGTTCTGATGGACTCCTGGGCCTTCCCATAAGGAGTTACCTCGGTTCTGGTCTGGCTCAATGAGGGTCTCTGGGTCCGGTGGCGTCTGCAGGACGGAGACAATGTTCTGGTTGATGATCCTCAGCTTCAACTTGGGTTTACACCTGAAGAAAGAACAGAGTCATTGGTCTGACTCCCCAGGGTTAGGGCCGCAGGTAAAGGATAAGGGCTTTACCTGCGGCACTTGCGCGGTGATGCAAGAGGCTGGACTAGGGCCTGCAGGTGAGTCAGACCGGACTCGGTTAGGCAGATGCCATCCTGAGTATACGTCTTCACGTCTGGAAACAGAGTCACATGATCAGGCTGCAGGGAGACCGGAAGGTTAGAGCAACAGAACCAATACTGACCCACTTCTCTGGTTCTGGACACCATCTGAGCCATGAAGGAACCCAGAGGCTCCACCCTCCCTGCAACAAACAAATGGGTCAGTGTTTACCCTGCTCTCTGGGGGAATTTCATAATGAAGGCTATGCAGACCTGAGGAGGCGCGGCACAGAGAGCAGTCAAAGCCTTCATCGGCAGCAAGCGCCACCTCTTCTTCCGAGGCCAAACCCTGACAGACGCCATGGACCCACCTGCAGATACACCACAGGTGAGACAACCCTGAGGCCGTCTTAACCTGGGGGTTAAGACGGGTCCTACCTGTCACACTGCTGGCACTGCAGCACCAGATCGTCCTGTGCATAGCGCCGCTGGCAGACGGGACACTGGCTGAGGCTGCCACACGGCCCGCACAGACTGTAGTTGTTCAGCCAATCACAGCGCAGCCCTGGCGAGGTGGAGCCACACAGCACACACCACACACACCTGCAGACAGAGGACGGGCCGTCAGACATGCCCTCTGACCCCCGGCCTCCAATGCCTCCACCCACCACTTGCACTTCCAGGAGCCCTTGGGCACAGTGAGGAGGGGCGGGTCCAGGCAGTAGGTGTGGTAGCTGATGTCACAGTCGTCACAGAGCAGCAGGCGGGCGGGGTCGCAGGCGTCGCCACACGCTTCACATACTGTGCACTCCAGGCAGCGCCAGCCTTTGGTCAGCACCACCCGGGTGATCTGTAATCAGATTGCAAAGTAATGAGTGGATCGGAACCAGACTGCAGCAGAGGCGTAACCGGGGCAGAAACGCACCTTGACGCCGACGCAGTAAGGATGGTAACACTGGCCGCACTGGGAGCAGGGCAGCAGGCGGCCCTCTGAGCCCCGACCGAAGCTGCCACAGACCACGCACATGTCCTGCAGAGAGACAGAGAAATACTAGGACACCAGGGCACCAGGAGGCACCCTGTGGGCAACCGGGTACACCCCTGAGTACCTGTTTGAGAGTGAAATGGTCTGAGGTGGAGAACATCACCACCGTGTTGTGCATGGAGTTCTCCTCTTCCTCCTTTGCCTGAAACATCTCCACATAGCTTCCCTAGCAGACACACAGGAGGGAGGAGGTCAGCTTCCTGTTACCATGGCAACTCCTCTATCAGCCAGCGCGCTCTTACCCCAGGGAGTACAGTGAGGGTATCCTGAGCCTTCAGCCGACTCCTGCCTCTTCCACCTCTTCCTCCACCAGCAGCTCCACCTCTGGACCGCTTCCTGCCTGGAAATCCTGAACCCCGACCCTGAGGAGGATGGGGATGGGAGGGGGTTAAACTAACTGGCATGTTACCATGGAAACCCTGGTGAGAGCAGCTCCCCGTCCCTTCCACTCCTTGGGTCAGGTCAGCAGAGGGCGCCACTGACTCAGTCATAACCAGTGACCTGGGGCCTCATGTCTAAAGCGGCGTACGCATAAAAAATGTGCGGCGCCATATTTTACGCAGAAGTCGGCATGTATAAAAATGAACTTTGCATCAAAGTCTGCATAAATATACGCACATTTTATCCTTGCCGTGAAAATGTGCTGCAGCCACACAAACTTTTTATGTGGACAATAATAAACTTCAAAGCATCAACTCACGTAAATCCATTGAAGTCTGATTACATTCAGTTATTTAGACCAAGAATCAAACCTGATGATTTTTATGATTTCAATATTTTATTCTTTAAACAAACAATGATACTGAACTGCATTTATCCTCAGACAAATGAGGAAAGAAAGAAACTAAAGGAAGGTAAAACTTCACTCCAATGTAAATAATAACTTCCTCAGTTTGTCTCATGAAGATGTAACTCATCGTCTGAAAGCATCTGAGGCTCATTTCATTCTGACTGGAGAGAAAACAGGCTGATCAGCAGATGGGTCCACCAGGTTCGGTTCTGATCAGGAGACGATCAGGTCCATCAGCAGCTGATCCAGGTGAGCCGCTGCCTGAGGAGCTTTGGCTCTGATGGAGAACATCTGAGGGATTCAGAGGAGGATTGATCACAGATCAGATCCATCTGATGGTCGATCAG